AAAAAAAAAAAAAAAAATCTTTAGGGGCTAGGGAGATGGCTCAGTAGAATAAGCACTTGCTTGTCAAGTGCAAGGGTCTGAGTTCAATCCCCGGTTCCACCAAAAAAAAAAAAATCTTAGAAAACTGAGAACCTGGGGCCAGGGAGATGGCTCAGTAGAATAAGCGCTTCCCTGGCAAGCATAAGGGTCTGAGTTCAATCCCGGGTTCCACCAAAAAAAAAAAAAAAAAAAAAAGAAAGAAAGAAAGAAAGAAAACTGAGAACCTGTTTTGCCTTTTCTGGCTTCTTTAGTCCAAAGTTACAAAAAAAAAAAGTTACAATTTCTGGGCTGGGGTGAAGCTCAGTGGTAGAGCACCTGCCTGCCTTGAAAAAGGTTCTGGGTTTGATCCCCAGCACCGTGCACACTGTCAAGCTAAAATTTCAAATTCTGAAATGGGCTTCGACTTTCAGAGTCAGCAGCAACGCAATATGCCCCCATGGCAAAGATGACCTTTGAGAGCCTCTCCAATAATTCTTAAATAACAATAACAATTTCCTTTTCCCCTGCCTCTTACTGCTATTTCTTGAAAATTACCTACAATCTCACCTTAAGGGTTCTCCACTTGCTCTTCCCTCTACCTGGCTCACTCCATTGACCTATCTACTGGTCCCTCTGGAGCTTTTTCTTAGTGTCATCTCAGTCCTTCCCCACTGCAGTAGGAGAATCATTGTGAGTTCGAGACCAGCCTGGGCTACAAAGTGAACTCAAGACCAGCCTGAACTGTATTAATTCATTAACTAATATAAAATAACAAAACTCTATCTGCCCCATGGCTCACACAGTCCTAATCTTTCCACTCTGCTGCTTCTCCAGTTTGTTACAAGATACCTATTAGCTTTCTGCTTTAAACAGTATCTACTAGGCTGGGAGTATAGCTCAATGGCACAGTGCCTGCCTGGCAAGCATGAGGTCATGAGTTCAATTCACAGTATCAAAAAAAAAAAACAACCCAGATCAACAGTATGTATTTGTTTCACTACTGTATCGCTTGTACCTAGAACTGTGCTTGATACAAAATCACCGTTTAATAGATACTTGTTAAACATTTAATCCTTACAACCCTCCATCTTCTGTAACTATTCATGATTTAAAGTGCAGAAAAATCAAAGTTCATAGGTTAAGTAACTAGTCCAAGGATACAGTTATAAGGAAGATGCGGAGCTGGGGCCTGTCTTCACAACCTTCCTGATTCCCCAACATCTAGAACGTATCAGTAATCACTGTTTTTCATTGTTCTTCAACTAGGAAAAAACCACAGGAGCTGCAACATTCCAATTCAGAGAAAAAATATGCTAATAAACTAATTCATACATCTTCCTCCAAGATCAAGATTCATTCTCCCCAAAGTTCACATTACTCTCAAAACAGTTTGGGAAAGACCAAGCTTAACAATGGGCTAGCAACAGCAGAAGCAGGGAAAAAAATGTTAAAGGCACTAAAACATCAAGTTTTTTCCTTTCTTCCTTCTGTCTTGACTTGTCGTGGTATTTGTTGTTACTAAGAAAAATTGAAATTTTGAATAAATTGTTAGAACAAATTTTATCATTCATCTTTATATTATACAACACCGGTATACCTGCAAATGACTAAAACTAGTGTGGGAACCTTTTCAACATCCATGAGGCCATGCCAGCCCTAGTTCCAACATTTTAGGACATAACCCAAATCAAAGCAGAGAAAAGGTCAAACCTTGAAATTTTCAATAAAGCAGTGATTTGCCAAAATTTTATCCTCAGGACAAACAATGAATCCAAAAGCAACTACTTGAATGGACACTACTCCTTTTGCAATTTTAATCCCACCTGCTTTACATTATCCTGCCTTTTTACAGAACACAAAACCATACCTTGAGACAACTGATACTGGACTAAATTATTAAAAATTTAATAACATCTAACTACTCAGAAAATCATGTCAGCTAAAAATAATATATCCCCCAATATACTTGTCACTTTTTCTGAACCATTTTTAAGGCAAACTACACTACATTTTTGATGTGCCAAGTCAGTATGATTCCATACTGATCTGTTACAAATAAAAATTGTGGCAAATAAATTCAATTTTCAAACTGCAAACATCTGTCATCCTCTTCTTCCCCAAATTAATTACCAGAAACGTGTGCAAATTAACATTCTTACCACTTGATAAAGTGACTCAAAGCACCTAAGTGTTGATATTTTAAAGATTATACAAATGTTACATCCAGTGCCTGAAGTTGAAATTATCTATACATTTCTACATGTACTAATAACACATAGACATAAATGCATTCATAAGCTCTTCAAAAGCAATTTTCAAAAGAGTAGATAGGCATTCTATTCTCTAGATATGAAAGATATTAAAATTAAGACATATACATGGAAAAAGCATCTTCCAAATTACAATTTAATCAGATTAACAAAGGAAGAGAAATTCAAAAAATGTAAAGAGACTAACCAAATGTAAAGTGCTAAATATTCTGAGTAAGAAAAGGGGCCTAAGAGGCCTATAAAGATGAAAAGCAAAGCCCCACAGTAACATTAAATTTGAGTTAAAGAATACCGTTATTTAAATAAGCAGTTAGCATTTCGTAGGAGGAAGGCCAAGCAACGTGACTATAATGTATCTATCATAGATTCACAGCAGCGCTTTGCTATTCCATACTTATTTGCTTACACTTATAATATAGAAATAAAGCAGCAGCAACAGTTAGCCAACTACAACATTAACCACTCTGGCAAAGGTTACTTAAAAAACGGCCCTGGATTTTTACAACACTTTGCAGCTATAGATTATTTTCACGTATATGACCTCATATAGTGTTCAGTACCCTATGATGTAGTACCGACTACATTTCACAGATAGGAAACCGAAGCTTGGTACGCGATTTTCTCAGTCACCCAGTCGAACACAAACCTTCTGATTCCACGTTTTATGCCTGGCATTTTGCATAGTTCTGTTTCAGGCATAAATATAATCTTTAAAGGGAAGGAACGGGTTAGGGGGAAAATAATCATGGTACCTGCAGCTCTGTGCTGCAAAAAATGGCTGAATTATGCTTCTTCCTTTTTCTCTCTCTCGGTCTCTCTGAAAAAAAAAATTGCATTTCAAGCAATTTAAGTAAACTCAAAGACCAACTGGGTCCCGGCGTCTACCAAATGTTCGCCTCGGGTCGGTGCAGGGAGGGCCACGGGATCCGTGTCTCGCTGGGGGCCGCGGGCAGAGCCCGGGCTCAGCGGGGCAGGCCGGCGGCCAGGGGCGGCTACGCACCTCGGGGGTCCTGTCCAGCCTCTAGTGGACGGCAGTCTGCATCAGGAAGAAGCGGGCCGGCGGGCCGAACGGTGGGCGGGCGGGCGCCGAGACGGCACTCCGCAGGCTCCTCGCACGTCTACACGGGGCCGCTCCCGGGCCGGGCCGCTCCAGCGGGAGCCGAATCTGCGCGCCCGCGAACCCCTCGGAACCAGTCCTGGGGAAGGAGACAGCGCAGCGCGGCCCCGGGGACCAGACAGCACGGCGAGGCGCGGGGCGGCACGGCGTCGGGGCCGGCTGTGCAACGCCAGGGCCTCCCAGCGCCCGGCGGGGCTCGGCTGGAGGGCCGACTTGGGGCCACGGCGGGGGAGGAGGCCAAAGGGCCGCGAGCAGCGGCAGAAGCGCCGGCGCTGGCGACGTCGACGGCGACTCCGGGCTTCTGCCCCGAAGCGCGCCGAGCCTCAGGATCACCCACGCCGGGGGTGGAGGAAGGCGGGAAAGGGGCGGGCAGGGGGCGGGGCGTGCGGGGCCACGAGCCAGGGGCCGCTCCGGGCCTCGCGCCCCCTGCGGGCCGCGGGAGC